GAGGCTTCTCGGTTGAGCCGAGCTCAAGGCCGTATTCAAAGCCTTCTCAGCTTTTCTACACAAGTAATTTGGATCCTTTACCTTTAAAAATATTACGACATCGTCTGCATAGCAGACAGGTCTAAGTCCTTTCTCGTTAGGGTCCTTAGGAGGCTATTAATCGTAGTAACCCAGAGTAAAGGTGACAAAATGCCACCGCGAAATACCTTTTTCCTGATGCTTATAACGTACATCTCGCAGCTTATCCATTTGTACCTTAGCATGTGGTTCATCCAGTTACGGAGCACCAGGTCAACATAAAACTGGTCTAGGGATTGGATAAGAGTATCAGTGTGCATGTTATTGATGTCAATGCATACCGCTAATGTATACAGTTTGCTATCAAAGGACAACTTCGTTTAAAGCGGTTTCCACCGATCGTCCCTTTACATAAGCATGCTGCTTATATTTAAGGTCTTTGTCTGGTATACTGCTTTTAACCATACTTTCGACTATCCGTTCCAAGGTTTTAAGTAAGAAGAAGTAAGACTTATCGGTTGATAGGACTTAGGTGTCGCATAGCTAGGTTTTCCTGGTTTGGGTATAAATATTACCCTTGAATTCTGCAATTTAACTGGGGTATAGGTTAATTTCAAGCATGCAGTGAATATTTGAGACAGATTACAGTCCCGCCTCCATTTGTAAAAATGCCGGGAAAATGCTATCCGGCCCTGCAGCTTTATAGGGAACAAAGCTCTTGATTGCCCCTTTAACCATGTCAGATGTAATAACTATTTTCTTATTAGCCTCCCCTTCCTCCAATATCGGTTCATCTATTTTATTCGATATACCGGGTGGCAAATGAGAGTTAATTATTAGTTTCATTGTCTCCTCCATATTCTCCAGCCTCCTGTTCGTGTCATCGATCATAGATTCCGGGTGAACATGAGTTTTGGATAGGAACTTTTTATCCTCGATACGTCATTTACGCTATCTACCTGTTCACAGAAAAGTTTCCAGGAGTCTCGATTGGCTTTTCGAACGATTTTCTTATATTCACCAAGTTTATTACGATACTCATCCCAGTATACCGCGGTCTTTTTACGCCGTGCACGGTTAAATAGTTTGCGAAGAGTCTTCCCAAGGTTCCGGATCTCCCCGGTTACCCAGGGTTTCTCCTGGGCAGATCTCCGCTCTAAATAAAATTTTTGTAAACTAAATTAATATTTCTGCAAATTTCGTAAGGATACCATTATTTGTAATGAATTATGTGCGTTTAAGTGGTTTTCTGAAAGAGATATTCTACGGGAGCTATGACCAAATATGAACCGATCGAGAAACAATTTTAAAATTACATTTTTGTATACAAAAGTAATATTTGTGGCAAATTTTGCATAGAAATTTTAAAAAATCATTTCTATATAAAAGCAATATTTGTGCCAAAATTTGTATGTATACCATTATTTGGTAATGAGTTTTGTGCGTTTAAGTGATTTTTGGGAGGGGACCTTGTATGGGAGCTATGACCAAATAGGGACCGATCGTGGAAAAATTTTACATTATCATTTCTATATATAAAAGCATAATTTGTGCTAAAATTTGTATGGATACCATTATTTAATAATGAGTTTTAGTGATTTTCGGGAGGGAACCTTGTCTGGGAGCTAAGACCAAATATGGACTGATCATGAAAAAATTTTACAGTATTATTTTTATATATAAAGGCAATATTTGTGCCTAAATTTGTAACGATTCCATTATTTGGTAATGAGTTATGCACGTTTAAGTGATTTTTGGGAGGGGAACTTGTATGGGAGCTGTGACCAAATAGGGACCGATCGTGGAAAAAATTTTACAGTGTCATTTCTGTATATAAAACAATATTTGTGTAAAATTTTGTATGGATATCATTATTTGGTAATGTGTAGTGGTGCGCTTAAGTGATTTTCGGGAGGGGACCTTGTATGGAAGCTACGGCCAATTATGAACTGATTCAGAAAATTTTTCTTCTATATGAATTCAATTGACATGAAACTTTTACCTGTATAAGTTTGTAAACATATTGTCATTCTAATTCTACCGGAATTTATTAACAATTAATGCATTTGTATGGGAGGTATATGAAATTTTGGACCGATTCCATTTTAACAAGCTTCATAAAGAAAGCAATTGTGTCCTGATTTCTATGAAATTATATCGCATAGTTTTTGTGAAAATTGTATTAGAATGTGTTAAAAAAGCTTAATTTTGATTCATAACTGTATCCGATGTAAATTTGCTCATTTTCAATACCAAACTGCAGGACAATAGTGAAATCATTTGGCCGAATTTCATTAATTTATTTAGCATCGTTTTTACGTGAACGTGTTTTACACTGACAGACGGACGGACAAATGGACATAGCTAAATCGACTCAGAATTTGATAGGACCCAGAATTTATATACTTTGTTGGGTCTCAGATGAATATTCTAGGTGTTTCATACGGAATGACAAACTTATATGTACATATATACCCTCTATCACCACTGATGGTGGTGGAGGGTATAATAATGAGCTGATTATATGAATTCGCCTTGTTTACGATAAACAAAAACAACATCTACGTTGATGATCGCTGACAGTGTTGCCAACATTGATCAAGCAAAAACGCGCGCGAAAAAATTAAAAAGGTGTAAAATAGCGTAATTTTTTAGCTGAAAAGGGGGTAACAAAGCACTAAACGTTTTTTAGTAAAATTTTAATAAAAATTGCACATCTTTTACTACAAGACAAAACATGCTTCATACCAAAGTAAAAACTAAAAACTAATGTTTTGACGAATATTAGATAAATAAAAATCAAAATAGATGGCAAACATATTAACCTACACTCTCTGAATCTGGTTTAATTTTTCAAATCCCTCATGATATAACCGTTAAAAGGTAAAATCAGTAGAGTTTTCTTCCTTATTATGTCAAATATAAAAGAACTGAAAAGAAGCAAGTAAGAGTGCTATATTCGGCTATACCGAATCTAATATACCCACCATCAAACCGTAGGCCGTAAAATAAATGATCTTCTACAAACATCCGGGTGATATTACTCATCAAATTTACTGAAGAAGATCTATAGGAGAGGTAGAGGCAATTATTGACCGTTTACATAAAATTTTTTATATTTTTTTAGACCGATTTTGGTTTATATAAAACATGTTTACATCAAATATAAGTTCCCAACACTTTCCGCATTAAATTCGGTAGGAAGATTTGCGTTTCTATAAAAAATTTATTAGGTTTTTGGCTCGTAAGAAACTTACTTATATCAAATTTCATCTCTACACTCGTTAAAGTAATTATCTGGAGGGAACCTTATATGGGGGTAGGGTCAATTATATACCGATCCACATAAAACTTGCTAGAGAGGATTTTGCTCGTAAGAGACTTACTTATGTCAAATTTCATTCCTTTACTGTTATTTTTAAGCCAGTAATGAGCGTTAAAGTAATTTTTTGAAGGGGACCCTTATATGGGGGGTAGGGTCAATTATGGACCACAAGTTTTCGGCTCCTAAAATACTTACATATGTCAAATTTCATTGCTATATTCGTATTTTTAAGCCAGTAATGAGCGTTAAAGTCATTTTCCGAAGGGGACCTTATATGGGGGGTAGGGTCAATTATGGACCGATCCTCATAAAATTTGGTAGGGAGATTTTGGTTCCTATTAAACTTATTCATGTTCCTATTAAACTTATACATGCTTTTTGTACTATCAATATAGTAATTTTCTGAAGAGGTCCTAATATGGGCGCTAGGTGAAGCGGCTTTTACAAAAACAAATGCACACCCAAGCTCATACGACTTGAGCACCCTTGCCATAGAGTTGCACGAGGAATTGTAAAAACCACACAATTAAAATATTTGTAAGTATTTTAAAATTCACGACAAAAAAGTTCTAACGGACCTAAAATTAATTTTTAAAATTAATATTAGAAAAATCTAAGTCCTAAATTTTATATAATTAATTTTTTCCCTCTGTTGCTCATTTGACGTATAGGAAAAAAATTGTCAATTTGCCAAATGTGTTTCATTCCATGAGCAAACAAATAATATTAATTTGTAAACTAGTGTAATTGATGTTGTTTGTCTTTCATACGACAAGTGTAAAATAATTCAATGAATCTTTTTTAACATCGATTACGAATAAATTGTGGACAACAAACACCAACTGCTAAATATGTACGTTGCTTACTGTTACTACACTGAAAATAATCCATGCTTAACTTTACGAAAAAAAATTTCGTAACTACTTTTTCGTATATACGAAAATTTCGTGTATAATACGAAATATTGTTAATCAACCCCTTTTCTAATTTTACGAAAGTACGAAAACCTGTCGTAATATATTAAGAAACTTTGTTTTCTTTTATAAAATAATTTTGTTAAGACATGTAATATTTAACGAAAGTAACGAATTTTTTTCGTAACAAAATTAATTAGTAATATACAAGAATTATTTTTGATTTCACAAAAAAAAAAAAAATATTTTGTTACGATTTTTTTGTTTTTTTCGTAATTTTAAGCGAGTTAAATTAAACGTAATTTTAAATTTAATTAGCTGCCTAATTTCCTGTAAAATTTTTTATGTTTTTTTAAAAAACATAAAATTTGTTTTTTTTTAATTCGCATCTTTTCTAAATTTACAATAATTATTTTAAAAGAACTAACATATTTATGCCTTTAAAAAAATCCTAAAATGAAAAATTTTTTTTCTAAAATATATAAAATTATTTAGCATTTTACTAAAATATTTCGTACAATTTCGTATATATTATGAAGGAATTTCGTGGTGCGAAACCACGAATCATTTCGTACAATGTACAACATTTTTCGTGTATATTAGGCATGGATTATTTTCAGTGTACTGCGGATAACTAAAAATCTATTATCTAAATAACGTAACGTAAACGCTAACGTATACGAAGGAAATTTTTTGAAAAATATTGATAATTATTAGAATTATAGTCGCATAAATAAGCTTACCCCATCTTTTTTGTCGCGATTGAAGGCTCCATGAAGATACTCTAAAGATACGTCATCGTTTTCATTAAGCCATTGCATAACGAAAGGCTCAAACCACGCTGGGTATTCAGGAACAGCACCTTTGTGTGGTGGCACTTCTTTAACGTAATTACTGTACAACCACTTGACCACGAAAATGTAAATTCATATACTCCGATGATTTACATAAGCGGTGCTGTTCATGCTCTTCCAGGGCATATTTCATATCAACAGCGAACAAGCCCCACATGGTAGCAGCCGACAGCTGAAATTATAGATAAATTAATTTAATTGACAAGGTTACTCAATATTGGGACAAAACTACTATTCAAAATGTACCCAAGAAAAACATTTTAAATGGATCATGTCAACTGTGAATTGATTGATGTATACTGTGAGCGTCAAAAAAAATTGTACAAAACATTTTGTATATAATAAAGCTATCATTTTATGCATTAGATATAAAATTAAATTAGAAATTTTTTTTTTGTCTTATTACATTTTTATTTCCTTAATTCTAATATACGTGAAAAAAGTGTACAAATTACACCTGTGGAATTTTAACGAGGTTGTACTGTAAAAAATTCCGTTATATTTGGTTGTTTACTTTTTTATATTCTATTAAAAGGCCCTTTGCACGATCACACTTTACGTACGTAGAGTCTAATGAAAAAGTGAAATGAAATTCCATCCGTATGACAAAAACAAGTTATAGTCGGACGAGGCCGACCATATAATACCCTACACCTGTTACAAAATTAAAATGTGATTTATTTTCATAATAAAGCATTTAAGTTGAATTGTACCTTGTCTCAGATGTACTTAAGCCATTTATTGTTGAATAAAATTGTGGATATTTAAGTCAAATTTTGAAGGGGGCTTTGTATAGGGGCTATAGTCCAAATGAGACCCTATAATTAATAAAATTCATGAGAATCATTAAGGCTAGTATAGAACTTTGTTTTGCAGCTTTTTGTCGAGATACCAGTATATTAACATAATTATGAACTTAAGAGCCTTATTCGGCGGGTTCAGTTGTAGGGGGCTAAGTGAAATAATGGACTGATGTTAACCATTTTCAATAGGCTTTGTCTCCGGTAACATAGAAGATCATGTGCCACATTCATTGAATTATCTTCAAAAATTGTGACCTGTAGTTTGATTACAAGTTTTACAAGCCCTATTCGGGGGTTCAGTTGTGAAAGAATTTTGTTTTGCAGCTTTTTGGTCGAGATACCAGTATATTAAACATAATTATGAACTTAAGAGCCTTATTCGGCGGGTTCAGTTGTATGGGGGCTAGGTGAAATAATGGACCGATCTTAACCATTTTCAATAGGCTTCGTACCTGTGACAATAGAAGGTCATGTACATAATTTCAATGAATTATCTCCAAAATTGCGACCTGTAGTTTGATTACAAGGTTTACATGGTGGGTATTGGGCCAATATTATTGTGCGTTACAAACATCAGCACAAACCCAATATACCCTCCCCACTAAAGTGGTGTAGGGTATAAAGAGTCGTATGATTTATATTTTTGTGTTCACACATTTGGTATAAAACCTTCATACGCGAAGAGCCACCTTAAGAGCTCTCTGGTTTTCCCTCATTCACACGTACGTACGTCATTCTCTTAATTTTAGAAAAGTTTAATAATCGACATAAACTCCCAATGCCCAACATATAAATAGCCAAATTTGAACAAACACTAAAAAAATCGATATTTTCCCCTTGTAAATGCACTTGAAAACTTCAGAGCAGTTGCGGCACCTGTTAACGTTATCCTATCTACCTAACTATTTGTATGACATAGTTTTACAACCCAAAGAACAATTCTAGAGGGGGACGTGCAAAATTCGCCAACTTTGTTTTTTTGGAGCATTCTAATGTACATACATATTAGGGTATTCAGTTATTTGGGCTTTTGTATTTGGTTTATTCGACAAATGATTGTTTGAGGTTTCGCTCAGTGTTTACTTTTACTAATATATTAGTCAGCATTTGCCGCAAAATACACATTTTTATCACTAGTCATACTAAAAATATTTAAACTTTTTCAGATTTAAACAAGTAAGAAATTATAGTCGGGCGAGGCCGACCATATAATACCCTACACCTTTGACAAAATATAATGTGATTTAGTTGACATAATAAAGCATTTAAGTTGAATTGTACCTTGCCTTAGATATACATACTTAAGCCGTTTATGAATAAAATTGTGGACATTTAAGTGAAATTTTGATGGGGGCTTTTCATAGGGGCTAGCGTCATATGAGAACCTATTATTATGGAATTCGTGGGGGTCATCAAGTCTTGTATACAACTTGGTTATTGCAGCTTTTTGTCGAGATATGAGTATATTAAACATAATTATGAACTTAAAAGCCCTATTCGGCGTGTTCAGTTGTATGGGGGCTAGGTGAAATAATGGACCGATGTAAACCATTTTCAACAGGCTTCATCTACGGTACCATAAAAGATCATGTGCCAAATTTCATTGAATTATCTCCAAAATTGTAGTTTGAATACAAGTTTTAAAGGCCCTATTCGGGGGTTCAGTTGTATGGGGGCTAGGTGAAATAATGGACCTATGTTAACCATTTTTAATAGACTTTGTCTACGGTACCATAAAAGATCATGTGCCAAATTTCATTGAATTATCTCCAAAATTGCGACCTGTAGTTTGATTACAAATTTTAAAAGCCCTATTCGAGGGGTTCAGTTGTATGGGGGCTAGGTGAAATAACGGACCGATGCAAACCATTTTCAACAGGCTTCATCTACGGTACCATAAAAGATCATGTGCCAAATTTCATTGAATTATCTCCAAAATTGCGACCTGTAGTTTGATTACAAGTTTTAAAAGCCCTATTCGAGGGGTTCAGTTGTATGGGGGCTAGGTGAAATAATGGACCGATGTTAACCATTTTCAATAGGCTTCGTCCCTAGGACAATAGAAGATCATGTACCAAATTTCATTGAATTATCTTCAAAATTGCGACCTGTAGTTTGATTACAAGGATTACAAGCACTATTGGGGGGGTTCAGTTGTATGGGGGCTAGGTGAAATAATGGACCAATCTTAACCATTTTCAATAGGCTTCGTCCCTATAGAAGATCATGTACCAAATTTCATTGAATTATCTTCAAAATTGCGACCTGTAGTTTGATTACAAGGTTTACATGGACGGACGGACAGACGGACGGACATAGCTAAATCGACTCAGAAAATGATTCTGAGCCGATTGGTATACTTTAAGGTGGGTATAGGACTAATATTATTGTGCGTTACAAACATCAGCACAAACCCAATATACCCTCCCCACTAAAGTGGTGTAGGGTATAAAAACATTGCTACTAAATATTGCCGTTCTGTTTTTATGTTTAACTAGAAAAATTGCGACGTTACACTGCAATCTCTAGCAGCACGAATGAACAGTATTAATCTCTTGTTTTTGTACAAGAAAAAAATATATTTTTGTGCTATAGCAGCGCACACTCACATCTGTTAAACTAATATGGCTAGTATTGATGATATTTTTATTTGCGCTGAGTTTTTCCTAGCAGCAATTAAATTTTGTTTTGCAACTGCTAGCTGCAAATTTATTTATTGTTTTTTATATTTTATTTTATGAATAAACAGTTATACCAGTGTTACCACAATCTCTAATTAAGGATAATTATTTTTCGCAACATAAAAAATAGTTTGTAAAATGTACATAGTGGCACCTCCCATATGAATTAAATACAGAAATCGTTTTCTCGGAAACTATTAGAGTCAGAATCTTCTAATTTTGACGAAAAACTTTAACTTCATTACGAACATTGGGAAAAAATACATACATACATACATACATACATACATACATACATACATACATACATACATACATACATACATACATACATACATACATACATACATACATACATACATACATACATACATACATACATACATACATACATACATACATACATACATACATACATACATACATACATACATACATACATACATACATACATACATACATACATACATACATACATACATACATACATACATACATATGTTTATTTACAAATTGCAGCATCAATATTGCCAAAAAATAATAAATAAAACTACAACTGGCAGTAGCAAAACTAAAATAAAGTTACATTGCTGCTAGGGAAAACTAAACGCAAACAAAAATAACATCAATACTCGCCATATTAGTTTAACAAATTTGAGTGTGCGCTGCTAAAGCACAAAAATATATTTGTGTTGGCCTGCAATTATGTCTGCCTGCTACTAGAAATTGCAAACACGAGTTGCAATTTTTATATTAATACGAATACATATGACTGCAATTTTTAGTAGCAAAGTGATACAAAAATGATAAACTTTCATATTTATTTTATAGTCATATACAAGAGAGGTGGTGCTAGTGCTGCATATTTAAACGCTGGTTTCGCTTAATCAAATAAAAGGAAAGAATGCATTTTATTAATTTTATTGCTATTTTTAAATCCTTATAATCAACAAACAAGAAACTCAACAATATTGCTCAAAACTGGTTGTAGAAGTAAATGCCATATCATTATTTCTAAGATTGCTTTACATATGTTCTTAATTATTGAAAAATAATTAAATTAAAAGAAGACAATTTATTATATATTGAATTTTCTATGAATGTTAAATACATAGTAAGTTTTTATTAATCGGTTAATTGATAGAAATTATTCGATTTATTCGTTACTTTAAATTTGGCGATTTTCATTAATTCGAGCGATTAACCGACAAAAATTCATCGATTAACTGATCGACGGTTAATGGTTTCATATGCATTAGGGATGCCAAACGGGAATTCCCGATTCCCGAAAATTCCGGGATTTGAAAGCACCGAAAACCGGGAATGTAATCCCGGGAAATTTCGGAAAAACATTGGATTCCTAATTTATCTTCTCCAAAATCCATATACGAACACTACGTTTAAATGTATACCTCTAAACAGACCTTAGGTTGCTTTGCACCAATGTAAATGAACTGTCGTGTAGTACAGGAAAATACTTAAGGTCAACAAAAGCAATATTTTTCAGCTAATACATACACTTATATATATTTAGAACGCAAATCAAGAATAACTATCCACATCCAAATACGCCTACTGTATCTTATTCATAAAATAAAGCCTTTAAAATATGAGGTTGAAAATTAATATTTTAGCATGTAATAGTTCTATAGTGGTATATGGTGATATCCCCATACTTAGAGTGGCTA